ATCTTGAAGCAAGTCAGCGCAGTACATGAGCGCATATCGTTGAGCAGCAGGCTTTTGTGGTTTTACATCGACAGGCTTGACCTCAGGTGCAATCTTGTCCAGTCGAACCACTGAAGGCGTCTGAGTCTTGTGCTGATTGCTTGAATTGATTCCAGCCTGGGCAACCAAATCAGAAGGCCTCGCAGCGCGCTTGGCGCCTTGAACAGGCGTTGCTGTCAACTCATCCTCATCACTGCTCAAGCCAGGGATTACAAGGCGCTTTCGTTTTCTATGCCCAGACGTGCTCGAAGTAGAGGGCGTTCTTGCAGAGCTAAGCAGAGACTGTAGATGAGGATTCACTATAGCGGGTCTTGGCGCGTTATCAGCAGCTGCAGGCTTGATGTCGTTTGAGGGAGCTTGAGCATTTGTGGCAGGCGACAGAGGTTGACTAGAGCCAGCATTATTCAAGCGAGCGACTGGCTTGCTAGTCCAGATACGAGCTTCTTCAGCCGACATGCAAGATGGACGGCGCAGCCAACAGCCTGAGTCTTCTGGGAGTGCTCAAGTCAGGTCAAGCTAGTGTGAACTTGTGAAGTGAAGTGAAGTGAAGTGAAGTGAAGTGAAGTGAAGTGAAGTGAAGTGTGGAGTTCCGGAACGACAGCAACCATCAACGGTTACAATCACAAAGGCCTTCTGCTGCCATGGAGCAGGGAGCGAGCCATGAAGGCAAAGGCATGCAAGAGGCAGCCGCTAGAAAGGCCGATGGCAAAAAACGCAAGAAAGTCAATCACGGTATAACACCTGTATGCTGCAGCGCCAAGCTAACTTGCAGCATGCGTTTACTGTCGGCGCTCGCACATGACTTGTGATGCTGGTAGACCGTGTTCTCGATGCGTCAAACGCAATATCGGCCATCTATGCTATGATGAGGCGCGGCCTGCCAAAACGAGCAAGATGCGTGCAGATTCATCAACAAGTCCTCCACACAGCATCAAGAGTCCTGAGCCTGCAATGCCCAAATTGGAGCGCGCTGTCTCTAGTGAGTTGATGCGCCCACCGACTGCTCCGATCTCATATGCAAATGCTGCGCTAGATACACCGGTGTTTCCATCACAAAGTGTCCTACCCGCCAATCTGGATAAGTCATTCACAAGCGACTTCAGCATGCTCTATGATCCGAGCCTATTCAGTGTTGGCTTTCAGAACCAGCCGCACTATGCTCAGTTTGCATCAGAGCAAGCTACCAGTGAATTTCTCGTGCTCTCAGACTTTCTCAACATCATGGGTAGTCCTACCATACGGCCAGCGAGTCCGCCCGTACCTGTTCCGATACTCCCTTCCGAGGCAAAAGAGGAGGCCGAGTCTCGCGTTCCCTCAAGGCAGCACTCACGCGCAAACAGTGTCACGGCACCCAACTCTCAAAATCCTTCAAAGCCAGGCTCTGTCAATGGCATCTCCGAATCTGCCCAGGAAAAGTTCTTCTTGACTGCAGCGGATCCAAATCCTGAGAGTGCAGAAGATCGCCTCAAAAGTGTCATCAATGCAAAAGTGGAAGCTGGACTCATGAAACCATTCAACTATGTTCGAGGGTACGCCCGGCTGCAAAAGTACATGGACGCCAACATGTCTGCAGAGTCGAAGCAACGCATTCTCGCGCCTCTTTCAACATTCAGACCAGCATTTCGTGCCATTGCCAAGCGTTTGACGGATGTCGACCTCATTCTTGTGGAAGAAGCCTTTGAGCGATTACTCCTCGACTATGATCGCGTCTTCACCAGCATCAGCGTACCGGCCTGTCTCTGGCGCCGTACGGGCGAAATTTTTCGTGGCAACAAGGAATTTGCAGCGCTACTCAACATTCCAGCAGAACATCTGCGAGACGGCAAGCTGGCCATCACTGAACTCATGGCTGAGGATTCTGCCGTCAACTATTGGGAAAAGTATGGCAATATTGCGTTTGACGGCGCCCAAAAGGCAGTCTTGACGAGTTGTTTGCTACAACTCCAGCGTGGTGATGGTGTCGTCAGCTGCTGCTTTTCATTTACAATCAAGCGTGATCGATACAATATTCCAAGTTGTATTGTTGGCAACTTCATTCCAGTCAAGCTAGGTTGAATGCGACCCGTTTACGTGGTAGTCCGGGTGCAGGCGAAACACTTCGCTTGAGAGGAATGAGTGGGGCAGGTGGTCTTTCCCCAGCCAGAAACAGCGGTGGTCCGGCAAGGGTAAGCTCTTGCTTTTTCAGTGGCAAAAACTGTGGATGCTGCACAGCTGCTCTAATCACCTCATCATCCGTGACTTGCTTCTCGAGTGGCTGTGCGACTGAATCACGTCGTCGCGTCATGGCTTCCTCCACCGTGCCGTGCAGCACCAGTGTCTCTACAAAGACTTCGCGAGTCTGTCCAATACGATGCGCACGCTTGATGGCCTGTGATTCGATTGCTCTCGACCAGACTTGCTGCACAAAATAGATGCGCGTTGCTGCAGACAGATGCAGACCATGCGCTGCGAGTCGCAAGTCCATGACAATGACACGGACGTGTGGCTGCGTATTGAAAGTCAAGACGTACTGGGATTTGAGATGAGAGGGCAAGCGAGAGGCATAGATTAGATGTGGGATGTGCAAGAGCTCCAGTGCTTCGGCAATGTGGTAGCTGTGGTCGACAAAATCAGAAAATACAATAATCTTGTCTGTCTCAGCGTACTGCAAGATTTGCTGCAGCAGGTAGTTGAGCTTGGCAGAACTCGTCGCCACAATTTTGAGTTGAGAAAGGCGTGAGGCATGCAAGATTGCTGGATTGACATTTGCGTTTTTTGCCTCCTTGGCTGGTGAGCTCAACTTCTTCATGTCTCTCGTATCCTCCTTTTCCTTCTTCTTCATGGCTTGTCGCTTCTTGGCTGCATTGCGCTTAATCATGGCTGCGATGAGATGTCCTTCGAGGTGATCATCTGGAGTTTGGTATAATGGCAGCTTTAACGCCTCATTCGCAGCCCATTGAGCCAGCGCAAGTGCTGACCCTCCAACAAGTCTTGGCATATTTGGAGTCAGCCAGTACTCTTGAAGAGACTCGGACAAGTCAGCATTCAACGTGTATCCAAGCTCGTGGGTCGTCGACATGGCCTGCCAGGCCGACGATTCTAGTGCTTGTTGTAAGACGGCTACTGACTGCTGCAGTAGAGTAGTATCACTTAGACTGAAGGTTTTGGTCCGAAGCGCTTCGTGGGCCACATTGCGTGCAGAGATGACATCCTTTGCTGGAGTTCCTGTCCACCAAAAGGTAGAAATGAGCAGATTACGCACCAAAGCAGCCAATGCAGTCGATTGCGACTTGTGGAAAAAGTAGTCTTGGTCGATGCGTTGAGACGTCACTGCGTTGATGGCAATAAGAGCATTGAAAATGTTGAGTGACAAGGCAGTCTCTGGACTTGGGTCGAGGTAGACTACTTTTCGCCTCAGCGGTGGCAAAACGACGTCCATTGTCATGTCAGCTTGCCGATTTCGAATGACAATCGCCTCCAAGAGGCTGCGTATACATTGCGTAGCACCTGGTCTCCTGTCCAGAAAAGGTTTTGCTATCGCTCTTCGCCACTGCTGCTTGTCGAATGCTTGGAGCTTCAGGAAGTCGCAGAGCGTAACGCTCAGATTTTCGAGGTCGATGCGCTCGCTCTGAAATTCTGTTCCGTCTGCGAGTCCACCGACCAAGCCGCGTGATGGTGTACCGGAAACGACCCAACGTCGTTCGACACTAAGCTGTGAGGCAAAACGGACAGCTTTTGAGTGTTGACTTGACATGGTGTGACCTTCATCCACCATGAGACGCAGCCAATGCAATTGAGTCAATGGCGAAGTATAACCTGGCGTCTTGGGGCATGTGCAAATTACTTGTCGTGTTGCTTTCGCATACGAGCACCGGCAGTGCTGTACTTGAGCATGCTGTCGTTCTTCCTGAGAGAATCGAGTGTGCGAGATGAGCACCAAATCATACTGGAGCAACTCTTTTGGGTCTGGTGTGGGTGCAGCAAGCTTGTTGGCAGCAAGAACAAGCACTTGGAGGAAGTCGTGCTCAACGTGCTTCCGAATCTCATGTTGCCATTGACTGACCAAGCTATCGGGAACAACGATCAAACTGCAGTGGGAAAGCCAGACGCGGGACCACGGCCGTTCGTCGACGTCTTGGCTTCTTGCTCGTGTACGAAGGGCTGGTGGAGGACTCAAAAATGACTGTCTATACTGACAGAGAACTGGCTCCAGGTGAGGGTACGCTTGGAGAAAGAAGCGAGTAGGAATATGTGCTTCTTGTGCAACCTGCGCACAGCGTTCCTGCAACGATCTACCCACTGACGACCGGTGCCGTGAATGCTCAGGGGGGAGGCGATAAGTCGTATGTGGCAACAGTGCCGGGTTTGCTGGCAAAGTATCGAGACTCGCGAGCATGAGCGCGAGACACTCACACGTCTTGCCAGTTCCCATCTCTTCGCCGAGGATACCTCCAGTCGGAGCCACGTAGCTTGAACTTGTCTTCCAAAACTTGCATGCTTCTTGATCAAAGAAGACGTTATTCAAGGGCACAAGTCGAGGATCCAGAATTGTTTCTGGGTACAGCTCATGTCGTAGCATCCTGCACACTGTGCGGACTTGGTAGGCATAGAGGTCCGATGCAAGACCTGGTATGGCATGATGCAAGACTCTGTCAAAGACAATCTGATCTCGAGGCGTGCACTTGGGTAAGTCTAGCGTTGGCGAGGGAATACTGCTGTACAACGTGGACAGCGCAGCCTTGTCAGTCGGCAACAGCGCTGTATGTGGAGCCTCCATCGTCCAGGCATCGCGCGAAGCATTGGCCTCATTCAAGAGTCTGCGAAAGGAGGATCGATGCAACGGCCTGAGCTGTAGTTGCCTGGGATGCACATCCTCACAAGATACATAGACCCTCACGAGGATACGTCTCCCAAAAAGCTTATAAGTGAGCTTTACAAGATTGTCTTCAGCGAGCAGCTCGAGCCAGCGATGCTGCTGCGGAAACCCACCAGAGGGCAGCCAGCGGAACCCATCCGGTGCTTTGGGCTCTTCCGCTGGGAAGCGCCAGGTCAAGTCTCCAGCTATAGAACCTAGCGGTGCCCAGCGCTGGTCGTTGAGGGACCGCATACAAAGAGAAAGGTGTAGTCTCTCTAGAGAAAAGTAAAATCGGCGCACAAAAGACGACTATGACTTGACGATAGAGCTTGCCTGCAACGCCAACAGCATCTCTGTCCTGTCTGCCAACACGCGCGCCGCTTCAGTGTAGGTAAGCCACATCCGAGTCCGCTTGTCACGCTCAGGCCAGTCGTCAGAGATACATCTCGGCGACACTTCAAAGTAGCGATATTCGGCGCGCGAGATGGCCTTGCCTGGTATAACATCCAGACCCTTGTAACGGTCGCCTGAAGAAGCTTCGGAAGTGAAGGCTGGCACTTTTGGTGGGCGTGGATCCTTAGCCTGTATCAAGAAGCGAGTGACCTGTGCTCTGTAGAGATTAGCAACGACCATAGCAATAGATGAACTCACACGACGCCAGCTTCCTCCCAACACTCGCGCAGGGCCGCTTCTTCTACAGTTTCGTGGTCTTCCCAGCCGCCCTTGGGCAAGACAATCTTGTTTGGATGGCGCGAGCTGCTGATGCAAAGCACATACTTGCCCAGAGGCTCGCAAGGGTGAGAGATTTCGTTGGAAAGGACTATGACGCCGGCTACGAGTCGTGCGCCTTCGGGAGAGTATCGGTCTTTGACACTGATGCGGTGTCCGTTGACTGGCTTCAGAGGCGAAGCAGGGTATGCGCTCTGCTTGATGAGTCGTGTCGACATGCCAGCGATGAGGCGAGCTTGAAGGCGGAGAGGGAATGTGCGTGTCGTGTGATGGCTTTTCGGGCTATGTGCTAAAGGTCGCCCATGTTGCTGGATGAGATGAGTGAGAGTTGAGGCTTGGTCCTGCTATAGGCCCGGGTGCGCGGCTGGATTGCTGCTGGAGGTGCAGGGACAAAGAAGAGTTTGAGGTAGGAAAGTGCTGGTCGTGGTGTTGCAGTCTGCTGCTTTGTGTCGCGCGACAACTCACAGCGGGAGACGGCCAGGACCATGACCACCCAGACTGGGCCAGACAGATCCAGGGTAATACGGTGATGCTCTTCCAAGGCGAGCCTGTGGACTTTGTGGAGTACTCTGGCTCAAATCAAGCTCGATGCGGTACTTGGCTCTAGATCTGCTGCCATAGGCTGACGTCCAAGGATACTGTGGTCGGCAAGACACGTCACATACTTTTGGCGCCTGGGCTCACTCCCTGACGGTGCATGGCTACAAGAAGATGATTGACCATGGCTGGCGCAGATCCGGCTGCTACATCTACAAGCCAAATTTGGTGCAGTCGTGCTGCCAGCTCTATACCATTAAATTGAATGCCCATGCTTTCAAGGCCAACAAGCAGCAGCGTGCTGCAGTGCGCAAGTTTCATGACTTTGTTCTTAAATCAAGCCAGCCATGCAAGACTATGGAGGAATATCTCGCCTCTACCGACGCTTCATCACGATTCTCTGCCGACCTGGAGCCAGCTCAATTTACAGATGAGAAGTTTGCGCTGTACAAGAAGTATCAAATGGCAATTCATGGCGACAAAGAGTCGGAGCTGCAACCAAGTAGCTTCAAAAGATTCTTGTGTGACACGCCTCTTGAAGGCCCAAACAGATTTGGTTCTTTCCACCAGATGTATCGCTTGGATGGCAAGCTGATTGCCGTGGCGGTCCTCGACTTGCTCCCGGGGTGCGTTTCGTCAGTCTACTTCCTTTATGATCCAGACTATCGATCGTTGAGCCTCGGAAGAGTATCTGCTTGTCGAGAAGCAATCATGAGCAAAGCTGAGCCATTTGGCGAGTATTACATGGGCTATTTTATACCCGACTGCGTCAAAATGAAGTACAAGGGTGAATACGCTCCTTCCTTTCTCAAAGATCCAGCAAGCACGCATTGGTATCCTCTTGAGCGGTTCATGGCCAAGTTCAAGCAGGGCGAGGTACTTGTCTCTTTCGATGCAGCACTTGACAAAATGCAAAGCACATACGATAACGTCTGGGAGTCAAAGATGCCGGATGTCATATCTCGCATCCAAGTTATTGAGGTGCTCCAGGGCAACTACGATGTGCTGATCTACGAAGACGGTGGTGTTGTTCCTGTCGCGATGAGCTCACTCAGAAGGAACAAGGCAAAACTCGATAAGCTCATCGAACTTCTGGCAGCAATGGGCAGTGAAATGTTTAGTGAGAGGACAATCATTGTCGCTGTATGATGTTTTGTATGTTTTGTTACCTAAGATCTATACACACTTCACGTCTAAAGCTTTCTGACAAGACAATGCTTGCTTTCAATGGGAATTTTCTGACCAATCCGTCCTTCCATTGTGCTGACCCTCGCAGCACAAGCGCTGAGGATGTACCACAACACGTCGCAGGCCTCGCTATTATTGTCACCCTTGGCGCCCAAGCACCCCTGCACCAAACATCTGGCATGCTGAACGATTGCCAAAAGCTGCTCAGTGAGTCTGGCCTTGCATCGAGTCGCGGAAAAAGCGCAGGCAAGTCAACCCACTCAACAACACGCCTTGCACAGCTGTGAGGATGCTGTCATGCATCGGTCGTCAACATTCAACAAGTACGATGCTGTCTACCTTGCCACAGGGTTCAGCAAGGAGTCACACTGGTGGGCAGATTGTGCAGACCTTCGCGGCACAAGACCTGAGCTTGTACCATCGCATGGCGCAGTCTTAGCGGTACATGCCATCATCAGCGGCCAACCGCCTTCAAATCAAGTATCTGGCATGCTGAGCGATTGCCAAAGGCTGCTCAGCGAGTCTGATCTTCTTGATTTGCTCAAGCTGTACCCTGGTCTGCGCAAGCTGCGTCTCATGGCGGTTCGGCAAGCCACGCTGACCTTCGAGGACAAGCGTGACCTGCGCCGAGTGCTCAAGCTCCATGTGCCTCTCATCCAAGGACCTCACTTCGCTACCACATTCGAGACCCTGGATGATGCCGAAGATGTAAATCCAAGAAGCTCTGGGTCAGCGAAGACGAAGGATGAAGTCAAGGCAATGGTAGTGCGTTGGCCTACTGGCGCCTTGCTCAGCCCTAAGTTGAACAGCGGCGAAACCGCAAGACTCGGGGTCGAGGTCATTCTATAAGGAACAGCTTACTTGACTTGTCCTACCCATATGCTGACCTTGAAGGACAACTCAAGACGAAGTCAGCGTAGGGCATTGCGTCAACCGGTCTCGGCTTTGCAGAGACTCGATCAAGATCGCCATCAAGAAGCAGGGCAGACTTAGCTCGAGTGTGCTCGGATTGATGAACCGAGAAGCTACTCTTGGCTGACCAAATGCCGACAATTCTACTGCTTGATGTGATGGTATCAAAGTAAGGTCGCTGGTATTACCAGAAGGAAACTTGGCCAGTTGAGATCCTTGCGTTTCGTCATAGCATATTGCAGATTGGCCGAGCTCGAAAGCCCCTGATTTCGTTGTCATCTTGATCGAGTCTCTATCACGCCCAGACCGGTCGATGCAATGCCCTACGCTGACTGCGTCTTGAGTTGTCTTTCAAGGTGAGCATATGGGTTGGACAAAGTCAGGTAAGCTGCTCCTTGCAGAATGACCTTGTAACCCAATCTCGCTGTATTGCCGCTGTCCGGCTGAGTGTTGAGCAAGGCGCCTGCAGGCAGGCGCGCGATCATTGCCTCGAATTCATCTCTTCTTCGCTGATAGAGCGCTTGTTAGACCGGATTCGAAATCGAGGTCTCAAACGTCGTTGCGAAGTGATAACTCTTAATCAATGGCACGAGGACTTTCAGCGCTCGGCGCAGGTCTCGCTCGTGCTCAAAGGTCAAGGTGGCTTGCCGAGCGCTCTGAGACGTAGTCTACGCAGAGCAGGGTACAACTTGAGCAGATCAAAAAGGTCAGACTCACTGAGCAGCTTTCGGCAACTATTCAGCAAGCCAGATAGATGATGCATGGGAGGTTGGCCGCTAAGGATGACATGAACAGCTAAGACTGCGACATGTAGTGGCACAAGCTCTGCTCTTGCGTCGCGAAGGTCTGCACAATCTGCCGAGCAGTATGGCTCCTTGCTGAACCCTGTAGCAAGATGGACGGCATCGTACTTGCTGAATGATGACGACCGATTGATGACAGCATCCTCCCAGCTGTGCAAGGCGTGTCTTTGAGCGGGTGGCTAGCTTGCGCTTTCCACGCGACTCGATGTAACCCTGCAGGCAGCATACTCAGGAAGTCTTTCTGGCAGTGCTCTTGCTGGGGCGATGCGCAAGGGCTTCAGCGCCAGAAGGGGTCGCATCGGCGTATCTTTCTCTCAGAGGAGTGCGCGAAGACATCCGTATGTTGCTTCACTCGGGGTCTGCAGGGTTGGAGGCTGTGATGGGAAGCAGCAGGTTGCGTGAAGAGAGATCCTCTTGAAAGCAGCTCTGGACAAGACTGTCACAAAAGACTGAGTCGATCGATCCACAAGGTATTACAACGAATGAGTTTGATGGGAGGTATGCATAGCAGCACACACGACCTTGCTGCCAAGACCTTGTCCTGTCCTAAGCTATAGGATCGAGTATTCATTGAGCATGATCTTCAGCTATGACGTCTGCTCGTCAGCGTCATCTCTCTAGCACGAGGTGCGGCTGCTGCCAACCTAAGTACGATCTTGGTGTGCATACTGAGGACGTTGACTGCAGTCTCGTTGGCCTGCTGGAGGCGATGATACCCAAGCGAGCATACGGGTGCGAAGGCTAGACGTCCATGGCCTGATCCGGCAAGCAAGCTGGCACTGGTGCGCTGGTCTTTGTCTTTGCACTGTCACTGCCTTACCAAGAATCCTTCGTTGACGATCCTGATCAATGTTCGCGGTGGCAAGACGCATCGCACAGCCCACGAGCCATTACAAGCACAGAAGGCGCAAGTCGATGACTTCGAGCTGCAGCAGGCCGTCAAGTGGCAGGCGATTAGTCCGGTCTGACAGAGCATCAAAAGGATGAGCCTCGGTGATACGCATTTAGCTGGACATATAGCTTGACAAACTACTTAGTTAGCTAGAAAACTGGCATCAAAGCTACAGAAGTGTTTGCTCTTGGGCGTCAACGAGGATCCTGACTATTTCCCTGGGCGGTAGACCTTTGTCATGGCTCTCAAAGCGTTTCTTCTTCGCAACTTGACTAACAAGCCTGGTATATTGGGTGATGGACCGCAAAGCGTTTGTCCGAGCATCGTCGCTGCCTCAAGATTGACGGCACAAGCATAGCATACAAGACGTACGCATCTGGCAAGGGCACGCCAGTGAAGCAGCAAGTGGGCTCAAGCAAGGTGCTCGCCTCGCGGCTGGTCTTGGAAGTGACCACCATCGCCAGGGTGCTTAAGTTGTGCGGTAGCAATAACAGTCTGCGCAAGCAATAGCTTGCCTGCTATACAACCAGCGTGCTAGCTATTGCTTTCGCAGACTGCTGCTATGATCATGAATAGTCGTAGACTAAAGCGATGAGTACGGTTCACTGAATTTTCCTTTCTCGCTCGATCGCCGCGGGAGGATCTGATGTCAGCGGGACGAACAGATCTACCCAGCGCTTGCCAGGACCTTGCCTTCTCTTCAGAGTATCGACATCTGACAAAGAGGGTAGGCCATGGGTGTACGGCAATGGCGCCTGCTCAGGCCCTTCTCCGGCATGCGCAATGATCTGTTGCTGCGAAGACCGTGGTATATCAGCGACTGGGTAGGCAAGGAAGATGTGTACAAAGATGCGGCCACCATCTACAAGGTCCTTTCTGGTACAGTGCGCATTTTCTTCATCAATCTGTTACCTGCACTGGCCTACTCGCTCGATATGTTCTATCGCACGGGCGATCTATGGAGCACAAACGAGGTCCTGCTCGCATCAGCTATACCGGCTTGCTTCTTTGCCATCTTCTCGTGCCAGCCACTGACTATCGTTGGCGTGACAGGACTGATTGATCTTTTTGGCTACACGACATACAACATTGTCACCGTGCGGTATGGTGTACCGTATCTTGAATTTATGGCCTGGGTCGGTATCTGGAGCGCCTTGATGCACTTTGCCATCGCCATCTTCAACTGGTGCGACTACATGAAGTACGTGACAGACTTCAGCAGTCAAGCATTCGGAATGTACGTCGGCATCATCTATATCCTCAAGGGTATTGAGCTCATTGTCGAGGAGTTCCATGGCGAAGGCACATCCCTTGCGAATGGCTACTTGAGCTGTCTTGTCGCTTTGCTCTACTTTGCCCTGACCTGGGCCACAACTTGGCTTGGCAGTAGCCAGTACATGCACAGATACATCCGCTCACTCTGCACAGATTACTCGCTCATCATCTGGACCATCTTTTTTGCTGGCTTCGTCCACATCCCTGGCGATCTGTCTAACGTCAATATTCGCAAGTACCCAATCAGCCAAGCATATGCACCTTCAGTGCAGCGCAATTGGTTTCTTCACTTTTGGACTATTGACGTCAAGTGGTGGTTCATTGCCATCCCCTTTGCGGCTCTAGTCACAGCCTTGTTTTACTACGACCACAATGTCTCATCGCTCATGGCGCAAGCCCGTCAATATCCTCTGAGGAAACATGCTGGCTTTCACTGGGATTTCTTCCTGCTTGGTATCACGACGCTCGTCGCTGGCTTCATCGGCATTCCATACCCAAACGGACTTGTACCGCAAGCACCAGTGCATACAGATTCGTGCGCCATGGTGGAATACCCCAAGGGAGAACTCGAGGATGGCGAGAAGAAGAAGGGACCTCGCATAACGCGGATTTTGGAACAAAGGTGGACCCATTTTGGGATGGGCTTGCTCCTCTTTGGCATGATGACACGACCTATGCTTGTGGTTTTATCGACTGTTCCGCGTGCAGTCTTTGCAGGAGTCTTCATCACTGTTGGCTGGTCATCCATCGAGACGAACCCAGTGACGATCAGAACACTGGGCTTCCTGCATTCTCCAGTCAGGACGGTAACACAGCGTAGACGGGCGACGCTCTACTTTTTGCTTCTGCAGTGGGTCACTATTGGCGCAGAGGTGGCCATCTCACAGACCATTGCAGCGATTGGCTTTCCCGTCATTATCCTGCTGCTAATTCCACTTCGCTGGACATGGATGCTACGTTGGTTTACGCACGAGGAGCTAGCTGAACTGGATGTGCCTACCGCTGAAGCAGATGTCGTGCTCATGTCTCTGGGCGGTGCACCAGATATTGCCGCACGCACACGGCCATTGGGTTCGGAGCAAGGGAAGGACGGGTGTGCCTCTGCGAGTGGATCGACCCTCCATATGGACCCGCTGCCCATCACCAAGGACAGAGCAGGGAAGTCGAGCTGGTGTGCAAGTGCAAGTGGTGCTGCGCCTGGGCTGGTGGCAACTGCCGACACAAAACTGCGCAACTGACCAGCTACAGACGGCGACCGCCTACTCAGCCTCCGGGAGACGGGCCTCGACAGTGGCACGGGCGGGCCTGCTGTGCTCAAGCTGCGCCTGACAGGGGACTATATAGACTGGACATGAACAAACACATACTTAATGCTAACGCCCTTTGCCGCTCTTCAGTAGTCACCATGTTCATGCCCGCCACACCTCAACGAACACTTTCCTCCTGCTCGACGGCATCCACCACCTCTGTAGACAGTGCAGCCTCCACTAGCTGGTTGCGACGCAAACCGGCCGCTATGCAGATTGACTTGTCTAGCCTCTCGGGCATCAGGGAACCAGCAAGCGCAACCAACACACTCATCCTGACGAACCTCCCGGCAGATGTCTTCAACGCCACATCGCTCGCACAACTGCGTGAGGTGATTGAGCAGGCATGCGAAGCGCCGCAGGCCATCCGGCATTGGATTCCGCTCAAGTCCTTTACGCGCATTGTCATTTCCTTCGCCACGGTCGACCTGGCGCGCAATCTTCGGGCCAGTCTACAAGAGACTGTCGTTTCTGGCCGTCAAATACGCATCTTTTACGCGCCAAACATGGATGTCTGCGTGACGAACCGGCTCGAGGTACCGCCGCTTGAGCGCAATTGGCTCATCTCACCGCCGGGCAGTCCGCCTGTTGGCTGGCAGTCTGCACGCGAAGATCCACCCAATGTCGATGCATTCGGGCCTGCATTACGGGAGAAGCTAGAGAGACTACCACTGATGGTTGCTCAAGCAGACTCGCCTGCAACCTCGGACTGGGAGCCTGAACCCTTGTCGAGGCGGCGGAGCGTCACGCTACTAGAAGAAAGCAAGGATGGCCCGGGGATTGTGGTTCACATGGAGGAACAAGATGCACAGCTAGAGCAACAACGCGAGCACGAGGAAAGTATGCGTCGGACTATGTTGCATACGGCGCGACCGCCTTACTGAAAGGGTTCGGATATGAGGGGATGTGGTACCGCTTCGCCGTCTTTGTAGACGGCGTCGACGCGGCCACGGACAATAGAGGCTTCATAGCTGTCCTCTAGTTGTACTTTGAAGCGAGGCGTTTGTCCATACATCCATGCCCATGACTGCAGCGACTCGGCTGCCTCGCGAACGTCTGAGATGGCCAAGGCTTCCTTCTCGATCACCGTTTGCGGCGACATACAACCAAACGCATGGCTAGCAGCGAGCATGAACTCGTTGTGGTCAATCTCAAGGTTGGCCACGGGTGAGCGTACGCTCTCTGTGCCGTGTGTCAGATGTATCCGCTTGGCTGATTGTAGGAAGGGACTGACGCTCGCGAGGTCGGCAGACAGCAGCATCGTTCCATGCGCATACGCACGTTCCTTGGCAATCTTGAAGGCCGAGCCAGATACCTTCTTACCAGATAGCAGTAAGTCATGCCTGTCATTGACACATACATCCTTGCCTTTGGCCTCGAGCATCTCGCAGATTGTCTGAATGGCAAAGAGCCGGGTAAAGTCTCGACGCGTTGTCATATAGCAGTAATTGACATTGCCAAGATCATGATAGACTGTGCCTCCTCCACTGTACCGCCGTACAAGGTCCACCTTGTTTTTTGCAAGCAGCTTGGGATCTGTCTCTAGCCATGGATTCTGGTTGCGTCCGACAACGACCGACTTGCGGTTTCTGTAGAGCAAGAGACATGGAAGCTTTGTATGCTGAAAGAGGTGATGTTCATAAGCAAGATTGACATATGGATTTGTAGATGCAGCAATGATACAGCGCGACAGGGGCATAGGGCCCACAGATGTGTCGTCTCTAGTCTACAATTTGGATTCGCCGTCGCGGTAAATGTCGAGGCCCCATCGAGGGTTGACAAATCGATGGGCCTTGTCCAGCTTGGCGAGGGCTGCGAGGTCTTCTTCAGAGAGCTTGACGTCCTGTGCCTGGAAGTTATTGCGGATGCGAGACGGCGTCACTGACTTGGGAATCACACTGGTGCCTCGCGTCAAACCCCATGCAATGAGCACACGACCGGCATCGACACCGTGTTTCTCTGCAATGGACAAGACAGTCTTGTCCTGCAGCAAGTCACTGTCTTGCGAGCCAAGCGGCGAGTAAGCAGTCAAGTGAATGCCCTTTTCCTTGCAGTACTCGAGCAGCTTTGGCTGAGCAAGGTATGGGTGCAGCTCGACCTGGTTTACGGCTGGCGTGATCTTGGCAGACTTGAGGAGCTGCTCAATGCGAGAGGGACAAAAGTTGCTGATGCCAATGTTGCGAACGAGGCCGCTTTCCACAAGCTCCTCCATGGCACGCCAAGTTGGGCTTGGGTCATCGGTCAAGGCCTTGTCGACTGCAGTCTTGCCCGCTTCATTCCTCGGTGCTGGCTTGTCGTTGCCTTGATACTCGAATGCTACGGGCCAGTGCATCAAGTAGAGATCCAGGTAGTCAACTCCAAGCTTGGCGAGAGACTCTTGAACAGCACCCTTGACGTGCTTCGGATCATGGAAGATGTTCCAGAGCTTGGACGTGATCCAGAGGTCTGATCGCTTGAGATTGTTCTCGCGCATGCCAGCCTTGATTCCCTCGCCAACCTCCTGCTCGTTGCCGTAGATCCAGGCTGCATCGATATGTCGATAGCCTGCACCGATTGAGATTCTGACGGCTCTTTGACCTTTCCGGGCTCTGAACGCCAAGTGCCGAACCCGAGCTGAGGCATGGAGCCTGTCCTGAGCTTAATAGATGCCATCTGTACCTTGCAGACTATAAGACTAAGTATAAGTGGTGAGCTGGAGTGTCGTTGCGGGGACACTTTCGAGCGTAGTCAGCAACCACCACAAGACGAGATTGAGTGACATCAGCGATGACGGAGACGCAATCGAGAGGTATAAGATGAGGCGAGAGAAGGGAGAGGATGCTAGACACAGACAACGCTTGCTATGTCCAACATCAAGGATGGACAATTCTCTGCACAAGACATTGGCGACCAGCACCAGTCGTCGACCACGACAGGCCTCGAGAAGGAGATGAAGCCGTCGTCTGAGTCTACCAAGCTAGAATCGCCCGAGGGCATGAGGGAGTACACTCCAGCCAATAAGCTCCACGGACGCTCTGCACTGATAACGGGCGGAGATTCAGGCATTGGACGCGCCGTCGCTGTGCTGTATGCACGCGAGGGATGCCACAAGATATCTATTGTCTATCTGGAGGAGGAACAGGAGGATGCTGAAGAAACGAAGCGCATGGTGGAGAAGGAAGGTGGTACGTGTCTGCTGATGCCTTTTGACTTGACGCACTTTAAGGAAACGAAGCACCTGATTGACAAGCACATGGAGACATATGGCCACCTCAACATCCTGGTCAACAATGCTTCGAAGCAGATTTCATGCAAGCACGTTGCCGACTTGGACCTGGACATGGTTGAGTCGACATTTGCCAGCAACATCTTGCAGATGATTGCCCTGACCAAGTTTGCCGTGCCGCACATGAAGCGCGGCGATGTGATTCTCAACACAACATCAGTGACGGCGTATCGTGGCAGTGGCCAGTTTCTCGACTATGCCGCTACAAAAGGTGCTATTGTCTCGTTCACGCGTGGTCTTGCTAGCCAGTTGACGGGGGAGACTGGGATTCGCGTCAATGCTGTTGCTCCTGGTCCTGTGCACACGCCGTTGCAGCCTGCCTCTCGCCCGGCCGAGCAGATGAGCAGCTTTGGTGAGGGTACGATGTTTGGGCGTCCTGCTCAGCCCTCAGAGATTGCTCCGTCGTATGTGTTTCTGGCGTCTGCTGAAGCCTCGATGTTCACTGGTCAGGTGCTGCACCCGAATGCCGGTGAGATTTTGAACACGTAGCTGGTGTCTAGTTGTCTATAGCAAGCCTGGTTGTGACTGCGTGTTGCCGCTTCTTTCCGGGATAGTTCCGGCCAGCCAATCAGCGTGCAGCAGCAATGATGCCACCAATCAGATTCGCGCTCCCACTCTGTCGCGTCACGGAAAAAGGAAAAACAAAAGAAGACAACTCTGCTCTGCTCCTGTACCATTACAGTCTACTCTACGGCCATGTCCATCCTCCATCGCGCAGTAGCAGCAGCAGGAGCATCTGCCAAAATCACATACGCACGGCAGGCAGCGCACATCCACCTCTTCGACTCCGCCACCTACACCGCCGCCCCAGTCTCGCGCAGGCCGCACTCCTCAGTCTCCCAGGACTTCGATGCCCTTCTCTCTACAAGCTTCACAAGCAAGACACAGGCGAATGCATGCGCAGGAGCAGCTGCAGGAGGAACTATAGCATCGCAAGAGCAGCACATCAAACAGGCGCTCAAGCAAGCCATGGTAGTCGGCAGGAAAGTCGCAGGCATGAATGTTCCTCTGGATCTTGGCGCAAAGGAACTTGCCAGGCTTGGTCTGTTTGGCGGTGCACAGGGCCGCGTCTTTGAGCTCGCCCTATAGCCACTGGCTAGATGACGACAAAGGAGCAGAATCGGCTTCTCTTTATGATGATATTCAACATTGGTTACAACAGCATGGCATCGCGATAGACACACAGCATCATAGACTATAGACGATAGAGCAGCAGTGATAATAATGATCCTTCAGTATTCAGGTTTCCGAGTCCTACGCCAACTTCATGATGCGACGACTTCTTGTACAACACCAACACCAACTTCATGCCATTTGTCAACGACAGCCAAGTCGCAGTCTTTGCAGCCTGGAACTACACGTACCTCTACGAGAATGGCACAGCCTACAGCAACGGCACCATCAGCAATGCGACACAGTGCTACATGCTTCGGCCGCCTTACATGCCCGTCATATTCACCAACGGCACCGTCGCCAACTCGACCGGATGCAGCCAGCCCATCATGCCAATCAAGTCGCATGGACGGACGGGGATAGCCTTTGCCGCGCTCTTCATCCTGCTGGTGCCGTTCTGCATCACTGCGCTTAGACGGCATGGCAAGCGCGCCTACAGCGCAAAATCAAAGCTCTACCCGTACGGCAAGCGTTGGGAATTCTACTGGCAGCTCCTGGCCATTATTTGTGTCATGATTTCCTCCTTTTTTGCTATTGATATCGACCGCGTCGTCGTCCAGTCTGGTGGATTCGGCGCCTACTGTCTGTTCTGGTCAGCTCAACTACCCGTCACTCTTGCTGCCATTTGGGAGATGTCTCGTAATTGGGCGCAAGTCGAAGCCGACAGATATATCGCCGACCGGCCAGAGATGCCACTCAACAAGCACAATGACAGCCTAGCGGTCAAGTTTCAATTTTGGGTGCCGCTTCTCTTTTATGCACTCGATCTCTTGGCCTTGTTCCTCATCGCTCTACGACCCTGGGGCGGAGTTATTCGAGGCAATGTCGCTGAAGCAACAGATGGACGCTTCAAGTCTGGTGCGTGGTTCTCCCTCTTGGCCTACTTTGTCATTCTCACTTTGCACCTGATCGCAACCTTTTCGTACAGGCCGGCAGCCGGCTTACACGCCTGGTGTGTTGTGCTTTGCATGGTCCTTATTTTACCTCGTCTCTTCTACACCATTCTGCAAATGAACGACTACAACATCTCTCCCTTCAATCCGAACGTCAACGCCTTGTACACGAGTCTGCTGGGATATCTACCGCTGCTCGCTGTCTTCATCGTGATGAATGTGCGTGGCCTTCTCATGCAAAACATCGACAAGACGATGCTGCAGCAGAAGCAGGCAAAGGAAAAGGAATGGCAGCGACAGTTCAACGCAACGGGCAATGGCACAACCATTGCATCAGGTAGCACGCATGGTGGCATGCTCCGGAGCGATGCACCGGCGCCTTGGCTCGGAACGTGTCCGGCAAAGCAGGATCACGAGCTCAAGACGTTTTCCTATGTCGTGGAACGGAAGGAGTCGACTCCGTCCTTTTTGCCGTAGTAGATAGTTTGTACTTTAGCGGCTTTTGTCAATGTACATTGTACAGTATTCGATTCCAGGGGCTTCATCTTGGAGACGACTTCCCGTCTGCCGACTCTTAAACACCGCATCATGCCATCCCTCATGCCATCGACATGCAAGCGTCGCCACTAATCAAGCTCTCAAGTGATGTGCGTCTGCGTATATTGAGCCAGGTGCCTGTCTCCCAGCTAGCTGCTCTGCAGCCGCTTGCTCGCTTCCTGCATGCCGACATTGCCCATCTATGGACGACGCGTGCATTCGCTGAGGTTTATCTCGACCGCGTTCTGACACGTCTTCGGGAAGAACATGCAGAGGTTGTGTGCTGGCATGTACAGGCATCAGGCTGTGATACGCAGGAGAGGGCAGCTCAGGTAGGCCACCTCTTGCAGCTGCTCCACTTAATGCGCTGGCTACACGCCTGTCGCGAACAACTCGGCAGGCCTGCTATGATGGATCCAGCGCCTCTTGGAACAGTAGTGCTTGCAATCAAGGCAAGCCGCCGTCTCAGTCACGATCATACGCAGATGCATCCCGAAGGACTTGCTCTCATCAAGGAAGTGTACAAACGCGTGCGCAGTGCACGCAGGAAGCGGTCTGGTCTCTGGTCGCCGGATGTGCAAAAGCTGCTGTACCCCGGGACCTCTCTTGCTCTGTAGCCAGAGACTGCTCTCTACATGTCCATGCTCGCTATGGCCTCCCTCCAGCACATGCATCCTCCTCAAGACGGGCCCCCGGCAGTGGCGACTTTTGCCCTGAAGGAGCCCCGAGGAAATCTTGGAAAAGCCAAGACATCCCAACACACATCAAAGCGCACACCCTCCCGGCAGCGGCCCTCACCAGAGACAACCAGGCGACGGTCAGGTCCGTCATGGCACGCTACTTCTCCATACCGTACACAAAAACACCGAAGCGCAAATACTTTTGGGGCCCGGTCACTGCAAGTATCGACTGGTGCGAGGAGAACTACGTCGTCTCGCGGTACATCGCAGAGTTCTGCAATACAACGACCAATGCCATCTTCATCATCCTGGCATCCATCGCCATACGCAACGCTATCCGCTGGCACTATGAGCGACGCATTTTGTTGACCTCGGTCGGCTTTCTCACCGTCGGTCTCGGCTCTTGGCTCTTCCACATGACACTCAAGTACGAGTTTCAGCTTCTGGATGAGCTGCCTATGATCTGGACAACGCTGATTATGTTCTGGGGCATCTTTGACTACGGACTTTCGCGCGCCTATTCGCTGTTGCTTGCGGCGGGGACAACCTTGCTTGGCGCCGGTGTCACTTGGTACTACCTCGTCAACAAGAACCCAGTCTTCCATGAGTTTGCTTATGGTCTCATCACTGCCGCTGTACTCTTGCGCTCCTGGTATCTCGTCCACAAGCGCGTCGACAAGGAAGACTTTGAAGCTCGGGACGACCTCAAGTACTCGGCAACTTGGGGCGCCGTTACTTTTTTGACTGGGTTTGCTCTTTGGGGTATAGACCGCGGCCAGTGCTCCAACTTGACCCACGCAAAGCATGTGATTGGTATGCCATGGGGTTTCCTGCTCGAGCTGCATGGCTGGTGGCATTTGCTGACAGGAACGGGCGTTGCGCTGTACATTGTCTTCCTTACACAGCTGCGTCTTCACCTTACGGGCCGCCAGGATGAGTTTGAGATTCGCTATGTCTTGCGCTTCTGGCCTGTCCTCGAGCGCAAGCATGAACGCCTGTTGCGTGATTGATTCAGGGTCGGCGAAACAAACGGGCGAATTTGTTGCGCCGCTTGGGTGGATGGAGAAGACGCTGCAGGCTGAGGCAGACATTATCTGCGCTGCGCAAGATCTGACGAAGGTCGGCGAGGAGCTGATGTGCTTGCTGTCGTATAGAGAGGCCTTTGCTGTGGGAGACTGCGTTGTAGACGAGGAGCTTTTGCATACCATAGGACGCGACAAGTGCGGAGACGGCCCAGAGGCTGTTCCACCCATATGTATACCTAATGATAAAGGACAAGAGGGCGAGCATTTGTAGCTTAGCTGGTCTGGTTGGCGGTCGCTGGTTGTGCGCATCCTCGCGACTTTATAAGCCAACGCGACCACACTTCACCAGCCATTTCTGTACACTGCTACGCCGTCGCATGGTCGATAGGCAAGACCTGGCTGCAGATATCCAGGCATGGGAGATCCATCAGGACCCGCTGACAGCTGAATCGCTTCTCGAACGCCTATTCGATGCAGCGGCCGCAACTTTCCACGACCCTGCGATCTTGCGCTCCATAGTCCTCGTCCTTGGCGCGCTAAGGCGATACGACGAATGTGTTTTAGCTATGCGAGCATATCTACAGATTTGCCTGCATGCTTACAAGACGTCTGGCTCTGTTGATGCGCAGCTCCTTGCAACCACACACCATGCAGTAACCTTTCTCGGACGAGCTGCTCGCGAGGATCTCCCAAAAGCAGAGATGGCACTTGAGTTTGCTCAAACGGTACAAGCTGTTGTCAAGGATGTGCATGTGCTGGGCAGGGCTACATTTCTCTTGTGCCTGCAAGGTCGCAAGCCATGGAGCGAGTGCATCTCTCTCCTCTCCCCCTCGTGTGAGCTTGCTCTTGCTCATATTGCCCTAGGCTGCAGGCAGAAAGCGCTTGGGGTCATCAAAGAGCTCCTCAAGCATTCAAACAACCAAGTCTTGCTGATACTCGGCAACTTGCTATGCGCAGAAGAGCAATATGACCGCGCCGCCAAAGCCTTTGCACAAGTCACCTCCGGCGAGACACTTTCGCAAAAGCGTCAAGTTATATTTGCACAGCTTGCCTTGGTAGATCTTGTCGCTCAGCTCGACGGTCCTGATGCAGCACTCGCCAAAGCGAAGGACGTCTTTGTCACATTTACGCAGCTCTTTGGCGCACAACAAACGACGCCAAGCATACCCGTTATTGTAGAGCCGTCGAGGGATCCGCCACGGTCTCAGCCTGCCAGCAATCACCGCAGCTCGAGTTTTCATCTCGGTGCATTGCGATCACAACCTTCCTTGCTGCTGCGCAAGTCAGCTTCCAGTCGATCGCTTGTACAGCGGCATCGCCACGTCTCAGCACCTGTTCAATTACAAGAGCTCTTGAATGCTGTTGAAGAACCTCGAGAGGAATCACCGCTAGCAACACAGCAAAGAGAAATAAACGAGCTGATTGCGTCGTGTTGGCTACGAGTAGCGCGCTACGCAGCGGAGGTCGACGAGCGAGGTGATGCCCTCCAGGCGTTGTCTGAAGCGCAAACCATTTCTGGTGCCACTTCTCAAGTCTTGCTCGCTCAGTGTCGCCTCAACATCAAGCTCGGCAATGCTTCACCGGCACAAATAGAGTCTCGCTTTGAAGTCTTGTTGCAGAGAGATGATGGCGATGAGCATGCTTCGCTCGCCTATGCTACGTACTTGATGGACCGCACAGAACCGGCTTATGCCCGTGCTTACGACCTGCTCGCGCCTTGGACAAGCTATAAACAAACGCTCGACGCACAATTATGGCTCAAATTTGGGCAGCTGTGTGAAGCACGTCATGAAACGGAACGCGCACAGGAGGCTTACTGGAGAGCGCTCGAGCTTGCAGAAGTGGAGGGCGTCTTGCCCTGGACTGAGTTACTCTCGGCATGTGCGTACTGACAAGTGTGCCTGTCTACATCCACGAACGCTCTAGGTTGACCAGCTTTGGCGGTGAGGCTGCGATGCTGTCGGCCCATGATGCAGATTGTCCGATGCTCCCGGTCATCAGGAGGCCCTGCGTAGACTTGTATGTTGTAGTCATCCAAAACGTGGAAGTGATTGTCATGAAGTTCTCCTGTCCACCCGTCTTTGCATCATAACCACTTGTTCTTCTCGAGGTGTACATCTCCTCATAACACTTTATGATAGTTTTTCTTGCATCCTCACGCTGAGAAGGCTCCTTGAATGTGTCTGCGGAGTTGACTTCCGTGAGTGAGTCGAGCACGCGTTCGTAGAAAAGGTCTATCAGCCTAGTAGATGGCATATGTCGCACGCAGCTGCCACGTCTTGAGCATGATTGAAATCATTCAGTATCGAAAAAAACAGTCTATCCATCAGTCTGAGGCTGCAATGCTGTAGACAAAGGAGACCTTACTTGTGGATCGAGTAGCGATTGCCAAGATTTGGATGTGAAGATGGATACTGGACCGAAGGTTGTGCAAAGGTCAATGCACCACTAGCTTCCACGTAAGGGATAAAGGAGCTTCCTTGGTGAGATGGTCGACAGCGACCAAAATTGAGTCATAGTCGTTGTCAAAAGAAGCCTGGTAGTGAAGTCGAGGGAGAGCGCAGACCATGATATATCGGGGATCGGCTTGGGACCTCGCGACGATTATAGCTGGGGAGCGCAAAACACCAGCTCATACCCTGGCAGGCAGTGGATCCTGCAAACACTTGGCATTCCGGCCCTTTGGTCAGCTCGCACCATGGAAGATCATTCTGACATGGTCCTGCAGCTTGCTGTTCTCTCAGCTCAAGATTTGCGCCCACCCGCACCATATAGACTAGGTCTTTGTATCTTGCAACCCTTGAGCGCCACCGGCCGGCGATGAACAGCAACCTTGTCGGCAACAGTCTTTCTTCTCTCAATGCCACGAGCTAGACATGCCAGCGATCAAGAGGCAGTCTATAATGCCGCCCGTCCCGAGCGCAACACGTTGGTGAAACGAAGACCAAGGGTTGCAGCGCATGTTCCGCTAATTGCCGCTCGACCGACTGCAAATCCAAGCGCCGTCGCGGGCGCAGCAGGCATCACTTCAAGCGCCTCGATTGTGCCGACCGCAATTGCTGCGGCCAACAATTGTCTACCAGTGCGGATGATCCTTCCTCAGCTTTGCTGATCACGCCGACCCCGCGAACAGTGATGAGAGTGTTGACAGCGCTAAGAGTGTTCAGTGTTGAAAGTGTTGACAGTGTCGAAATTTGAGAGTGTTGACAGCGATCCAACTTGAATTCGCGACGAACGCGCAGACCATCTGTTGCTGCACGCACTGCAGTCGACTTGCCACAGTCCCAGCATCGTTCTCCATGGTAAAATCGGGCGAGGCCCCTCGGCATAATGAAGTACCACTACCGGTATAAACTCTTGATCGTTCATGCTTGTCTGACTCTAGATTACAAGCAATTCTCCAATCGTGCGCGATATGCTCGTGGTCGACCTTCGTGGTTGTTCCTCTTCCAAGGCAGAGCAGCATCGCCATGATGCGCAGGCCGTGGAGCCTCCTCTGTCTTATTCTCCTGCATATCGCACAGGCACGCCAATTATTTCAAGCTCAGTGGATGTTGGGCTAGGAAGCGATGTCAATGTGTCATCTTCTGGCACAGCAAGATCCCGTCTGGGAATGCAGGTTCAAGATGTCCAGCCTGTGGTAGCACCAGGGAAGGACACACCACTTTCCACTGTTTCCAATGACCCACAAGCATCCCAATCGCTTAAACGCCGCGCTACTGCCCTATCAAAGCCTTCTACGGCATCTGCGAGCCCAAATGAACCTCCTAAAAAGCTGCAGAGAACGGGGAGGGCCAAATCTTCTGGTACCTTCACATGCCTTCAGTCTCCACCGAATGCAGATTCGTCGAATGTGGGGGCTGTCGCCATCAATGAACATGCTCTTCCGGCAACAAAAGCACTGCCCAATATTCATGTCAACGGCGAGACTGTTAGGAAAAACACGAGCCAAGAGGAGTTGTCTCATGCCAGTCATGATAGACAGCAGATAGCGAGACTTGAGGATGCACTCGAACAGACGCAAGAAAGGCTGGCTAGTATCTTGTATGAGCAAAGCAAGAAAACTCAAGCTGATATGGAGCAATTTGAGAGCCGCCTATCAAGATCATATCAACTACAGCTGGAAGAGAAGGAAGCTAGATTGGAAGCACGATACCAAGCATATCAAACACGGTCGCTTCGAGAGTTTGAGCTAAGCTGCTTGCTACCACTGAAGATGCTAACGTTTCTGCGTCCAAGTCGACGTGCAGTGAAACAAGCAAGGGTGTTCAAGAGGATGCATCCACGCAGCTGTCACTCAAGCGACTGACGGCGACAACGGAAGGCCTTGTCCAAGAGCTCGCAACATACAAGATGCATGTTTCAAACCACAGCGAACTAGGAAGGAAGCTTGATCTAAAGCTTCAGGCAGTCACGACGAGAACTTCAGATGCCTCTTTGCAGCGCTTCTTCTCAGATTGTGCGGCAAAATCATTGACGTTGCTGAAAGAGTCACAAACAGAAGCGCTCGAACAACGACTGAAGCGCATTCAACAGGAACTTGCTCGACGCATTGACCAGACAGAAATCAGTCTGCGTGACTTTTGCAAAGGCCTGTCACACGAACTGCAAGAGCAGCCAAATGTGGATTCAAACACGGATGGTTATATACTGAATGTGAACGCTGCTTCGGCAGTGAACCAGATCATTACGGCGGAACTAGCCAAACTGATTCTCCGCGTCGAGTCGGTTGCCACAGAGGCACAAGCGTCACTGGATGCTACGAGCAAGCACGACAATTGGATCAAGAATATGTCAAAAAGTATCGCCTCACACCAACAGACACTCCACGCATTGAAGAGGCACACGAAGAACCATCACAATTTCTTGACTGAGCTGTCAAGGAAGAACAAGACCGCTTAGGGGTTTTTTTTAGGGTTAGGGTTAGGGTTAGGGTTAGGGTTAGGGTTAGGGTTAGGGTTAGGGTTAGGGTTAGGGTTAGGTTAGGGTTAG